AGTTGGAATTTTCCCATATCAACTACCTAATAGATATTTTCAAGTAACCCGTCAAAATTTTCAGCCGGATGGTTCACTCGAGCGTCTCTTAAAAGAGTCGGAGATCCTTCGTCAAGCTTTCGGTCATCTTTTCGACTACGTCATCGTCAACAATGATATCGATGAGACGATCGCCCAATTGGAGCGTCTCGTCGAGAAGTTGAACGCCTCTCCGCAATGGTTGCCCGTTTCTTGGGTTTATTGAGTTTATTGAGTTAGTTTCAATTTCAATTTCAATTCTTTCGTTTTCTTCTCACTTCCACTCCATTGCCTCATCTATTTTTGCTTTTGTAGGTAAAGACTTTTGATTTTTCTGATCCACAACAGATTTTCTCTCTTATATCACGCACACTCATCTTCGGGTTTTAATTATGTAAATGTTTTTCTAATTTCTCTGAAAAGATTAGGCTTATTTGAATTTTGCTTAACTTTTTAAAATTGATTCATTCCTTTAAAGATGTTGGGTACTGTAAAGTGAAGAGGCAGATAGTGCTTGTTGAGAAAATTTGAGGCATAATTACCGTAAATACTGTAATAGTACCCCACCGCCCTCGTACAGTCGCGTAGTCGCAAAAGTTTTTTAGTATTTCATTTTTTCAAAACTTTCAAGTACTTTCAAGAGATGCGTCTTTGGTATCAAAAAATAGCTGAAATTCAGGGCTATTTTTTGATACCTAAACGCGCATTGTAGCATAAACCAGTGTCGAGAAAAACTCGTTCAAAGCTAGACTACGCAACACTCCACACCGTCATTATGGGGCGCGGGGCCCCCCCCCCCCCCCCCCCCCCCCCCCCCCCCCCCCCCCCCCCCCCCCCCCCCCCCCCCCCCCCCCACCCCCCCCCCCCCCCCCCCGGGGCCCCCCCCCCCCCCCGCTGGGGTACTATTAAAGTATTTACGGTATTGTAAAGTGTCAATATTCAATTTCAATACAGTAAGTTTCGATAAAAAAAGATTTAATTAAACCTAAATCCTTTTTTGACACATTTATGAGAGAAAAATTTTAGATTTAACAGTAATCCTTTCCTAAGCTTTACAGTAACCCAAACACCAAAAGCTTTAACATAAAACGGATCGGTTTTCTCAAAGTCCACTCGCAATCGAAAATTTCTCAACTTTGAGCCAACTAATCCTACAGTAATCCAGTCATTTTCCCCAATTACCCCATCCACAAAAGTTCTCCCCTTTTGTGATACATTTTCTGCCATTCAAATTTCATGTTTGTGCTAAAGTTTGTGCCAATACTTTTGCAAGATTTTCTTTTTATTTTCGATGTGGCCTTATCTTGAAGAAACTCGTTAGCCAAATCATTTATTTTTTTTTCTTTGCGAATTGAGAAAGAGTTTTCAACGAGAATAAAGAGTTATGAAAGATTGATGAAGTGGTTAAAGCAAGATAAGTTTTACATGTTGATGAATAGTTAAAAGAATGAGACCGGGCCATGAACCGGTCTACAGGGGGAGGGGCGGGATCGAACCTGGGGCTTTAACCCGGTCCCCGGTTCCAGAGACAGCCACACTGGCGTTGCGCCAGAATGAGGAGATGCGAACTTTCTCTAGTGATCACTTTTTCAAAAATTAGTCACCAAAATCAACAGAACAATGGCTTTACAAGGTCTTGAAGTCACTATGAAGATGAAATCGCCTATCTTATTAATAATAAGCGATTGAAAGATAAGCGATTGAATTTTTCAGTATTATTATCAGACTATCAGGCTATGGAGTTCCAAAACTTGAAGATAGATAGTCTTAAGTTTAACCCATTCGAAGCTTCTGCAGCGAATAATCGCTGCAGCAAAAACTCAGGAACGGACCGCTGCAGCGCTAATTCAGCTATTTTCATTCAATTAATTGGTTTTTTTTGCTGTTTTTCAGCATTACATGTATATTCCAATTGTAATAGATCTACAAATTACGTGGGCAAAAAAGATGTTTCATATTTACCCGGAATCAATGCAGCCTCTGATTTTGCATTGAAATGTTCCATAACAGCTCTAATCTTATAAAGCCGATCTCCTGCAGAATCCAGTTCATTATCACAAAAACGCAGGTTTCGAAGAATAGATTCAAATTTTGCTCTTGACATAATGTGGGACCTGTGGGAAAATCCTCCTAATCCAGGCCTGCTACTCCAGTAGTCACGAATCCTCGGTAATTTGACGATTCCCATTTGAAGACACAGAGCCAGGAAGAGCTTGAAAGATTTTGCATCGAAATCCTGCCAGTTTGTTTTCCTTTTTCCATGTTTATTAGATTCGCCTACTAACAGATCGATTAATTTGTCGTCGATAAAATAAGAATAATAATCGATAGGATCTTGAAAAGTACTGAAGTCAAATCCAAATCGTTCTTCATCAAAAATAAATGGTGTAGGAGACTCTCTTAAATCTTTCCAACCATCTGGATAAAAAGAAAAAACGCTGCGGTTTCGAATGGGTTAAATGGTTTACAGTTTTCAGGCAAAGCCAAGCGCTTAAACAATTGGATTCTATTCAATTATATCTCCACAAAAGCTGCCGTGCATCAATTTAAATAAAGCCTCACAAAATTTGCATTTGAATTTGGTCTTCAGTTGGAATAAGTAAGATAACGGCATCACACGACACCACCTTTCGAGTTATCTGGATGAATTTATGGTTAGAAACGAAAGCTCGGAAAGCTTCTACTACAATTGGATTTTAGAGCAAATCCAAGCAACAATGACCCCCTTGTTCGTGTTGAATCGTGAAGAAATTAAGAGCTTAACTTACCCAAAATGATTCCTTCGTACGCTTGCTCTTCCTTCTTTCTGACTCGAGCGCTTTGTTCGTGAAATCCCTCCATCGTTTTCTTCTCTTCCTTTCCCCCCACTACTCTCCACTTCTTCCCTTTTGGTGCTCAACCAATCTTCCTTTTCTCTCAACTCTCTTCAATTCCCCTTATCTCTCCTTTTCTTCCCACTTCCTTTCCATCTTTCTCTTCCTTTCCCTTCCTTTCCATCTTCCCCTTCCTTTCCATTGCTTCGTACGCTTGCTCTTCCTTCTTTCTGACTCGAGCCCTTTGTCCGTGAATTCTCTCCATCGTATTCCTCTCTTCCTTTTCCCTTCCTTTCTCTCCTTTCCTCTTCCCCCACTCCCCTCCACTTCTTCCCTTTTGGCGCTCACCCAATCTTCCTTTTCTCTCAACTCTCTTCAATTCCCCTTATCTCTCCTTTTCTTCCCACTTCCTTTCCATCTTTCCCTTCCTTTCCCTTCCTTTCCATCTTCCCCTTCCTTTCTCTCCGATCATTCATTTTATCGATCTTTGTGAGGTCTATACTTAGCATTACGCTGGCCGTTAAGTCTTTTCGCTTTTTTTTGTATACTTCCGTTTAGAAAAGGTTAATGCACCGATTAGCATACATACGATTAGCATTTATTTCTTTAGGAAGGTTAATAAAAAGGTTAGGTTTTTCTTTTTCTATAAAAGAACATTGAATTATTATGAAAATGTTAGGTTTTTGAGTTTTTTAGAGGCGCAAAGTCGGGTAGTCAAGAATGGCAACGACTCAATTACGCGATTTAGACACTTTGATCCATGAAAACCTATCTTCGTGTCAATAGAAAAAAGACAGAGCGTCAAAAAGTTAGATTTATATAGCCAAATTTTCACAACGATCTGTTCAGTCAATCTGTTTGTAGAGTTTTTCAAAGGATTTTGCCTAAAGCTCGTTTTTACACTCGAATTTGCTTCGAAACAAACCCAAATTTGCTGGAAAAAGGTAGGAAAATGAGCGATAAACATTTTCTATTTGAAGCAAACCGTAGGTCAATTGGTGAGTTTATCATTTCGAAATGAAAGTACGAAAAAAGAGATTTCTTTGCCAAAGTTAGAATTCGATTTTCGTGCGGTTTAAAGGGACTGGCGCAAAAGCGACGCGACGCGTTTTCTAAAGCGTGGATGCGCTACCGTAACCCGCACAAAAATTCCCTTTTGCCATTCTTTTCATTTTTCTGCATTCCATGATGGAATCGGATACTTTTCCGGCTTTTATGCACAGTTTTCTTACCTTCTTAGCAGAGCTAAGTTATCTTACCCCGTCATAAAATCTATGGTGCTATAGGGGGGGGGGGGGCAGTCTGGAACTTGACCCAAAATCAATATTTTTCCACGAAAACTTGCACATAGGGGTTTTTGACTATGCTGAATCGATTAGTAATACTTTTATAACTTTTTGTTTTATTAGTTTTATTAATTAATAGGCTTTTTAGTAAAAACTCGAATACGGGCAATTTGTCGAAAAATAGGTGCGCTAAGCTGTCAGGGAGTTCTTTTATACACAACAGTTTTGTTATTGTTGTTTCTTGTTATTGGATGTTGTTAAAATAAAACATAAAATTAATAAAAAGGTTATAAAAGTATTACTAAAAAGTTATAAGTAGGTTAGGACCTGTTTCTCAGCAAATTGCCTGTATTCGAGTTCGAGTTTTACTAAAAAGCCTATTAATTAAAATTAATAAAACAAAAAGTTATAAAAGTATTACTAATCGATTCTGCATAGTCAAAACCCCTGTGTGCAAGTTTTCGTGGCAAGATATTGATTTTGGGTCAAGTTCCAGACTGCCCCCTACCTACTCTAGCCCTGGTTTTTCTTCGTGGGCTTGTGTCTAATTATTTAAAAAAGGATTAGTGAGTAAAAAGGTATTAGGTAAGGCTAAATAGTTATTAACTCCATTATTAACTGATACAACAGTTACTAACTGATACAACATAGACTAGCTCCTCTATAGCAAGCTTAAGACTTGCAACGTTTCGGTTTTTTGTAATATTATTTATTTTTTGTTAGAAATTTAAATGCCGACTTTTAGTAGCAAAAAGCAAATTCCGTTGCAAGTTTCTCTCTCGACAAAAGTTCTTGTTCTTTTTGTAAAATTCCAATTTGCCATTTTGCCATGAATTGTTTTTCTGATACTATGTTGATCTATCTATTTCCAGAATTTCGAACAATGTTAGTCGCTTGGTATTGTTCGATTTGCTGCAAGAAAGTCACGTTCTCGGGAGTGTACGCTCCAAAAAGTGATGCGGAGATGGACGAATTCGAGATTTGTTTGAGAGCATCTGGGGTGAGTATTTTTGGTATTTTAGTAGTAAAATATTTTTGGCTGGTTTAGAGTTTTCAGGTATTCCGCAACGATGATTAGATTTAGCTTTAAGCAGAATACCCAATTTTTTAAAGAGAGTGGAATGCCCAATTTGTCTGCTGACTACTTTTATTTTGAATGAATAAATCTCATACATTTTCAGTTGAGCGAAAGCGTGATCGAATACGTTCGAATGAAGAGGAGAACCCTGTCGAAAGTTCGCGTTTGCACATGGCATGTGCCGACCTACAGCAAGCTGGCCGAACCTCAATGTAAAGCGGTGGGTCTTTGTACTTTGTACTTTGGTGTACTTTGGTGGTTGGGAGGGACCACTTTTATCCGGGCTTAGTTGGATCTAATGTTTTGAATGGTTCTATTGATACCTTTTATATATTCTAGGGTAATCAAATATGCTTAATAGATTAGTGACTATTTTAGCAAGTTATTGGCAATTCTAACCTAATCTCATGTACTCTAACCACCAAACGCTACCTCAAAGCTGTTTACACTTGAATAAAAGCGGCAATATGAAACTTGAAACATGTTGTAAATGCTCTTTTAGAGCTTATCTAAGCCTATATAAGCCTAAATGATTATCCTAGAATAAGTAGATAAAAGGTATCAATACAACCATCAATATCAATACAACCACTCAAAACATTAGATCCAACTAAGCCAGGATAAAAGTGGCCCCTCCAACCACTAAAGTACCAAAATGAGTCTTAAAATAAAGCTTAAACTTACGCTAAAATTTTAGAGAAGTCAAAATATCCTCCCGGAATTTGTGGAAAATCCAAACAGTCCAACGCAAATCGCCGAAACGTTCCGGAAGCTCGCCGATAAGATTTGTAAAGATGAAAATGAATTGGTGAGTTAAAAGTTATGAAGAATATCTTAATCAGTTGAAATAGAAGCAAAATTTGTTACTGAAATCATATTTTAGTCGAACATTCCTTCCCTGACGGGATTGCCGAAGGACGAGAGCCCGTCGGAGTGCTCGAATCTGATCTTTGGAGACGATCAAAATCTTTACGAAGGCACTAAAAACGTTGGGGTTCCGCTGTTCTCAAAGAAACGGGTAAATAAATTATGTACAGGGTGCTCAAAAAGTTCCCGCACAACTTTTGTAAAAGCAGCTAGCAAATGTTTAACTTATTTCAAAAGTGCTAGGTGTTATAGAGATTTGAATCTTGGCTAAATTTACATACCAAAAGCTTTCGAATTGGATTCATCCAACTCATGAGACAAGTTTTTGAGTGAGCACTACTCGGTCTCTTTCCGGCACGCTGCCATTTTTGACGATTTTTGTTAAGAAAGGCTTCCCCAAAACAATTTTGCATTATTCTTGTACAAAAAATTAAGTTCAATGAATTTATAGAACTAGAGCAGCAAATACATCAAAAGCTGGATGCAAATTGAATATCAAAACGCTCAATTTTCGTTTTTTTTCTTGAGCTTTAAAATGAACTTTGAAATTTTTGATTACCTTGAATTAGGGTGTAAACTAAGTCTCGACCCTTTCTTAAATTGGTAATATTTCAACGCAGAATCAATATATTTGAATGAAATTTTAAACGGATTATTCTCAAAAACTTGCAAGCTTAATGCCGAAATTATGAAGCTATTTGGCGATTAGCGACCAAATCATAACAAAATACCTGGTGTTACTGCCTATTTTTGACCTTTTCCACACAAAATAAGTTCACTCAAAAATATTTAGTTAGAGATTCAGGTCAATTTTTTTTTATAAATGAATGTTTTCAGAACTGTCGTGTAATTCATTTGGTAGAAACTTAGGCAGAATAATGTAGTAGCTAAATAGCAATACAAATTTTCAGCGATTTCGTGGGACAGCTAGATAAAGTTGAGCCCTCTTGAAAAATAAAATTGACTTTTCTAAGAGTTTTGAAACTTTTTCAGAAAATAGCTACATTATTCTAGTTTTAAATGTAGTAGAACAAAATTTGTATTGTTTCCTCATGTGCTTGTATTTTTGAATTTAGTACCGGAGGTTAAAAATTGCCCTCGCGCCGTCTTTTTGCTATAACTTGGTCGCTAGATAAAGTTTAGCCCTCTTGAAAAAAAAAAATTGACTTTTCTAAGAGTTTTGAAACGAATGGACGAATAACTTGATAATTTTGGCGTTAAGCTTGTAAGTTTTTGAGAGTAAAATTTCATTCAAGAATTCAAGTTAAATTTCATTCAAATATATTGGTTCTACGCTGAGATATTGGCAATTTAAGAATTTAAGCAATTTAAGACTTAGCTTAGGGCCTAATAGTTATAAATCCAAAGAATAAAGCCAACTTTTATTCTCTGACTAGGCCTACTGTAAGATCCACTAAACACTTCTGGCACTCAGGTCATATTTACAAAAAGTGAACCCCCGGGTAGCTAACTCATTGTCGGGTCTTTCTACAAATATCTTGCATAGTTCAAGCTTGAATTGTGTAAAATATCATATGATATGACTCATTGGTTAAAAACCAATTTTCTTTTGGAGTAACGGACGTTGGCTCATGAGCCCATGAGCATGAACATTGCCCGAAAACAGTTCTTTTATTGTAGAAAGCCGTCAAGCGAAGCCTCGACGAGGAGTCTCTGGAAATCGAGGATTTGGTCGAGAATCGCAGACAACGACTCAAGAATTCGTCTTCTTCACAAAGCCATCGAGTTCCCATCCTTACAAGTCAAAGCAAACGGGTCTCCTCGCAAACGCCATCAACGAGCGGTTTAGAAAGTTCGAATGTATGTTTCTAATGAATAATCAATGTGTAAACCGTAGAGTTTTTTGAATCCCATTTTAGTGGTGTTCATTGGAGGATTTGCTTGACTTTCATTCTTCGATCACGCAGATCAATTCACAAATCGTTCAAGTGCCGGAAGTCGAAGTTCAGCAACAATCCGAAACGCTATCCTTGATAAAAGTGCGTAAGATCAATAAAATGAACTCAAGAATTTTTTAGGGTTCCTATTTCTTGATTTCTGGTGAAATGCTATTGGAGTTTCTGCAAAATTGTCGATGTGAGGTGGGGCTAATTTTCGGTTTAAAAATTAGATCATTAATCAAGACTATTAGACTATTAGATCAATAATCAAGTAGAAAAGCTGTTTTAAGTCATTCAATCGTTCTAATCTGTTGAAAAAAATCCTATTTTCTTCTAGGAAAATCTTTCCGAGCGTCTCGTTGATGTACCCAAAGGAAATTTCCCATTTGTGCACTCAACATGTCCATGTGGTGGAATGCAAGTTTATCGAGGATTGCCAAAACTATAGCAATTTTGTATCACACTATAATACGGGTATATTTCCAAAAACGGTTTTTCTTTTATTTGAAATTAAACATTGACTACTGTGATAAACGTTCAAAAAAAAAACGAAAATCGAATGAGTTTTACATTTTTTTTGAAGCACGTAACACTGAAAACATTGGAGTAAACAAAGCAATTGAGGCATTCAAAACTTGGAAAATGTATTTCTGTTGTGAATGGGAATGTTAAAGATAGTTAGGTCAGGTCGGATCACAAATGAATTTTTAGACTACTCTTTATTCTCGATCAGGGATGTTCCAGCTGTAAGCCACTTGTAAGAATTCGAGTCCTAAATGGTAGACCCGATAAAATGAATAGTGTCAATCGATTCGCCGATCCCGAAAACCCGAAAACAAATTTACAGCTGAATATCTTCTTTTTGTATCATCAACAAAGCGAAGAGAAGTCCTTATAAATGACTGGCGAAATGTTCTTTGTGCGGCCGCGTAATCGCTCGCGATCTGGCAAATCGCCCCGGTAGAAGTTGCTTCGTTTTTGGAATTTGTAATCGATGCGTCAAAATCGTTGAATCTAAATCCGGATCTTCTTCTGCTCAAATTCTTGTTTATCCGGATCTTCGTAATCGCTCGCGATCTGGCAAATACCCTCGTTATAACCGGCTACCCTTTCGGGCTTCCCTAATCGGTGCGTCTAAATCGTCTGATTTAAATCCGTGCGTCATTATCCTCAAATTTTTGGTTTTAGTGAGAATCGGTCCCAATTCGGACCTCTTCTTTAATTCAGATTTCGATTTTATAACAGTTTTTGTCTACTTGCGAGTGCTCTATGTTTTTCGATAAATCCCGATATAAACTTTATTCACTAAACACAACAAATTAAGTCAATCGCCGATATGATCGATAAACCAAGAGAGAGTAATTGAATTGAAGAGGAGATCTTTTAAAATGGAATTAATTAAAACAGAAAACTTTTTTTTTAACCTGAACAATTTCAACCTAATAACCAGGACTTTTTTCTTTTGCGTTGTATCACAATTTAATAAAACCCACGCGCGAATGAAACGATGAAAAGACAAGGGAACTTTGGCACAAACAAGAAATTTTTGGATAGATGTGACGGTGGTTTAAACTTGAGTGAGGAAAACGTCCAATTTCTCTAACATTTGCTTCTCCAAATCTTCGAACACCTGAAAAGCAATAGTATATGGATTCATTGCGTAATTTGGGAATAGTGATTTGTGATTTGAGAACCTCTTAAGGTAATTGTTGAATCGAAAGCGAATAGAGCTATTTTAGTTGGATGTTTTTATTTCTCACAAACCTGCATCATCGCCAATCGCAATCCTTTCTCGAGATCTCCGTCTTTACTCAACAGTTTCAGCGTCACGATCTTGTACGTCTCACAGTCGTTTTTAAATGCCTAAAATATATTATTGCACTTTTTAGTCCATTTTGGAGTCCATAGAGTACTTTAAGTCAATTTTGGCACTATTGTATGTGAATTTTACCTACGAATCCGATCCGATCTAGCGTCCGAATCCGGTTCGGACCTCCGAATTCGATCTAGCGTCCGGATCAGATCCGGACGTCCGAATCCTATCTAACATGGCTCCGAATTCGATCTAGCATCCGGATCAGATCTGGATGTCCGAATCCTATCTAGCGTCCGGATCGGATCCGGGGCTCCGAATTCGATCTAGCATCCGGATCAGATCCGGATGTCCGAATCCTATCTAGCATCCGGATCGGATCCGGGGCTCCGAATTCGATCTAAACTTAATTGTTTTGCCAACGGCAATCTAGCCTATTTAGATTCTAGGTTAGTTATTTCTTAACAATTTCTTTTAAATTTAATATAATTTGGTAGAAAATTCAATTCTTCATCGAATGATATCAAAATCATAAGAATTTGTTTGAAAATAATTAACTTAGAGCCAAAATAGGTTGGGTTGCCGTTGACAAAGCAATTAAGTTTAAATCGGGCTCGGGCATTCGGATTCGACGTAGATCGCCTTCGAACGTAACCGAGAACATTCAGTTAGCAAGTCTTAGTACTCTGAATACTCTGAATTCACCTTTTCAAGTTGTTTCTTCTTCAGCTCGACTTTATCCCGTTGAAGTGTGGTGAGTGAGGCCAATTTCTGTTCCCTTTCAAATGATTTCATCTCCTCATTTTCATCATTGTCTTCCTCCATTGTCGACAATGAGGAGAGCTTGAGAGTTCCTGAAATTTGTGCACTTATTATCGTTTTTGTTGTTGTTGTGTTGTTGTTATGTTGTTGTTATGTTATATATGTTATCGCGTACTTTGTGTTCAACCATCGAAAACGCATTCTTTCTGACGCACTACTCAGTGAATTGTTTAAAAGAGAAGAGTCTTCATACTCAGATTCTCTGAGGGGGGTCATGTAAGTCTCTGAGGAGGCGTAGACACTTGTCTCGACTTTGACCCTAATTTTCTCTATGTTTTTACACTAAGGTGTATTAAATAAATTGTGGTTTTCTATAACGAAATTTCATAAGGAACATTTTAAGACCAACCACAAGTCGATTCGACAATTAGAAGTCGAGATATGGAGGAAAAGAGAAGAGTCGTCAAACTCCGACTCTCTACCCCCCTAGACAAATCTCTAGGGGGTAGACAAATCTCTAGGGGCCCGGGGTAGACACTTATCTCGACTTTGACCCTAATTTTCTCTACGCATAGCCAGTTTACATTTTTGTGTACGAAGATATGTCTACATGTCATTTTTGTCTACATTATAAAAACTCCATTTATCTCGACTTTGATCTTAATTTTCTCTATTTTTTTATTGGTTAAGTCTACAAAACAAATTATAGATTTCTTTAATCAAATTTTATGTAGATTCTAATAAAAGTAACCCTGAGTTGATCCGACTTTTAGATCTTGAGTTATAGACCATTTAAGTTGATCGACCCTTCCAAATAGATAGTCCAACTTTGACCCTAATTTTCTCTATGTTTTTATATTAAAGTTGACTAAGTAAGTTATGGTTTTCTATAACGAAATTTCATAACGAACATTTTAAGACCAACCACAAGTCGATTCGACAATTAGAAGTCGAGATATGGAGGAAAAGAGAAGAGTCGTCAAACTTCGACTCTCTACCCCCTCTAGACAAATCTCTAGGTAGACACTTATCTCGACTTTGACCCTAATTTTCTCTACGCATAGTCAGTTTACATTTTTGTGTACGAAAATATGTCTACATGTCATTTTTGTCTACAGTATAGAAAGCAAACTCTATTTTTCTCCAAGCTCCAAACTCCAAGCTCCATTTTTCCCATTTCCTTACCTGATTCCTCTTCCTCTGGTGGCTCATACTTGATCTGTTCGATGATAATCGTCTGAAATTCTTTCACTCCTTCCAAAAGGTCGCCGTGTTCGGGTACTTGTCGTCTTTCATTACCGGTTTCACTTCCTGAAATTCCTGAAATCGGTTCTTTATTCGGAAAGTCTATTGCATTCTATTTTAAACAAGAATTATAGAAAAACATGTCAAATAAAGTTCCACAACCCAAACTAAAAACTTAATATACCGTAATTATTCTAATAGAAGCCCCCCCTCACCCCGGTACAGTCGCTCTTTACAAAGTCATTCTTTTCTCAGCCCCCAGATTTTCCTTAATTATCTTTTTAGTACAAAAAAATACTAGATTTCAAGGGCTATCATTTTGAAACCCAAGCGCACATTGTAGCATAAAGCAGTTTGGAGAACAGAGCGTTTAAAGTTAGACTACACCGCAATACCCCAGGAGTGTTTCTATTGGAATAATTAGCTGAAACTAACCGAAGCTCGTTTCTGCAATTGTCTTGGCTGAAAAGCGGGGCTTGGAGCAACTGGAGTGATTGGAGTGGAGATCGGTGTCGAGAAATTGCTTGCGATTTGTATCTCGTTTCTCTTAGTAACAGTCGGGGTTTGTTGTTGAGGAGTGGAGGGAAGAGAGGGCGCGTCGCGTGTCGCCTTGCTTGTCGGCTGTGGAGGGTTTGGATGACTCTTGGAGATGGTGGTACAGGCTTTTGGTGGAATTGGAAGAACTTTTGGTGGAGGTGGTGGCGGAGAGGGAACGTGGAGGGATCTCGACCAATTTCTGTGAAGCGTTCACATAGCCTCCATTGAGTGGTCGCTCGCCTATGGGCTGAAATAGAAGATGACTTTTTAAAAAGCATTTTAAGCTTCTCCTAGCAAATATCTATCCAGCCTGCAATGCTAAATTCTTTTCTTGAATCCCTGAGCATTAGAATTCAATGAAAGAATTCTGAGAAAGCAATCAATGCCTCTTTCCTGGACAGTGATAAGGTTTCTTGTGAAAGCACTGAGCAATAACACTTTTGACCCGATCACAAGAATGCTAAGCTGATAGTGGAACAAGCAAAGGATAGCCAAGTATAGCTAAGTATAGCCAAGTATAGCTAAGTATTAGATTTTACCTTGAATCGTGGATTGATCGTGATGACTTGTGGCTCGGCAGGAGCTGGCGCAGGAGCTCGCACAGGAGCTGGCGCAGGAGCTCGCGCAGGAGCTGGCGCAGGTGGTGTAGGGATATCTGAAAGTTTAGTGTTGAAAACAATGGTCGGACTTGGGAATTTTTCTTAGTTTATCAACCTCCTTTGCATATTTGTTTTTGAAAAGTCCTGTCTTTAGACTTTCCTTTAGAACTTTAGAATTAGACTGTCCAGGAAATCTTTTCATTCCTTTTCTTAATCCTGTTGCAAATAACAAATTCATCAATTAACCCATAGTCATTTTAATGTTCTTTTGTAGAAAAATAATTGGCATTTCAAATGAAAAAAATCGTAGCTTAATTGCATTTGTTGCATTGCATTTGTTGGTTTTAAATGAAAGTACGAAAAGAAACAAAAGACTTTCTAAATAGCTCAATAGATCGTGTTTAAAAACCATCTTTAAAACTATCTTTAAAACTCTTTAAAACTCTTTAAAACTATCCGACTTTCTAATAGATGGATGTTTAAAACTTGTTTAAAACAAATTGTATCTAAAACACAGACCCATCTCCTCCTCTTTCGCGGGCGGAGTGCTCGGCTTGCGAATGACTTTCTTTGGCGGTTGATCCTGCAAAGATTCGTGAATTATTTGATAAGAATTCTTCTCCTCACTCAAGAAAGCAGTAACACAATTGCACATGAAATTCTTTTCTAACTTTTACTACCATTCTAGCTCTTACTACTAGTAGATGTGAGCTTTAAAAAGTCTCAGTGAGCTTGATTCTAATGTAATGACTGTATAGAGTCCTTCCAAAAAGTCAAAACCGAGAATCATTGAAGCTAATTGCAAGCTATGACAAGTAAAGTCAAAAAACCAAAGCGAATTTTGGCTGAATTTGGTTAGATAGGCTAACTTGGCTGAGAAACTCAAGTCTAGAAACAGCCTTGAGCTTTTCTAACTGTTGCTGTTAAAAGAGCTTCTCTAACTTTTGCTGTTAAAAGAGCTTCTCTAACTGTTGCTGTTAAAAGAGCTTCTCTAACTTTTGCTGTTAAAATCTCCCTCAAACCCACCCCTTCAAGTCCAAAGCTGATCGTGGTGTTGTGTACCTCTTTGCCGGCTTGTGATTGAACAGGCGGTGGAGGCATTGGTGGAAGTGGGACACTTGATGGCACCTTGATCGAGATTTGAATCCCATCCTTCTCGTTGGGAGCCGCCTTAAAAGGTTTTACGTGAATTTGCTGTTAAGTAGAGTGTAATCGAGAGTAATCGCTTCAGAGTAATCGCTTTGTAAAGCGTTCTCCAAAGGGCCGAACAAGTTCACCGGTTGGCCGAGTGGTTTGTACGCTTGTCTCTGAAGCGAGTGGCCGTTAGGCGAACGGGGTTCGAACCCCCGTCGATCCGTTTTCATAAACATTTTTAGTTCTTTCGCTTCAGAAAATTTTAGGTAACAGTTAGTAAAATTATTAGCTTTTAAAAGTATAGAAAAGAATAAACTGCTTATTTGAACAATTGAAAGCGACAAAACAAGTGTTTGTTGTTTTCGTTTGCTTAGGAAATGGCCCACTTATACAAAAAGAGGATAACTAATACACAAACCTTCACTTCTCTCACACGTAGCGGTGAATCGGATCGATCATGACTCACAACTAAAGCTTCTTTTTGTGGAGATCGAGCTGGGCTTCTTGGTTGACGAGGGGATCGACTTCCTTCTGAAAATAATTCATTGATAAATTTGAAATTGTTGACAAGTCATGACAAAATTCTTACTTCCTGATTCCGATCGCAGCTCACCATCAGAAGCGCTTGAGAGTGTAGCGGAACGGCGCTTCTTTCTGAAAACATTTGAATCAATCAGTTGAATCAATCAGTTGAATCAATCATTTCTTAAACAAATCACTACTTTGTCTATCATTTACATCTCAAAAACTGACTCTTTCTTTGTCTTCTTCTGTTTTTTCTCCTTTTGATTCGTCTTGGCTCTGAATCACTCCTTCTCTTCGCTTGAATCACGTTTCTTTGAGCCGGCACTTTCACGAGATGATGAACGACGAGAAGCGGAACGGGAACGCCTCGATGAGCCACTAAAAACGTACTTTAATCTCTAGATTCTTAGTTCTTAATCTTTAATCACTAGATTCTCTACTCTGTAGATAAATAGCTGTAAATAGACCTGCTTAACGAGTCCGGGCAAAATTTTCAGACAGTCTGCCTAGCTCTTCGATTTTTTTACTACCCAAAGCTCCTACGGACATGAAACCTAGTTCTCCCGAAAGCCTTGTTCTAGGCTTCATTTTGATACTAAACATGACTAGGTTCTGTTTTACCATTCTTTAGATTTCGATCAATTTTTCGCCGGACTCGATAAGCAACGAGTCCAGAAAATGATCTAAAATGATCGAAATCTAAAGAATGGCAAAACAGAGCCTAGCCATGTTTAGTATCAAAATGAAGCCTAGAATCAGGGCTACGGGGGAACCAAGTTTCTTGTCCGTAGGAGCTTTGGAGTAAAAAATCGAAGAGCGAGGCAGGCTGTCTGAAGCTTTTGGCCGGACTCGAGCAGATCTAGCTGTGAACGTCAAAGATCAATTCAATGTCAATTTCTACAACAGCATTCCCACTCTAGTTCAGAGTTTTGTACTTGTACTATTATTTAGTAATATACCTAATCAATTCTTAAAGCTTTTAGCTTTTAAAATCCACCTGCCAGAACGAGATCTCGAGCGTGAACGGGACGACTCATCGGATGAATGACGTCGCTTTCTCTCGTAGTAGCTTCTAGAAAGATGACTTTGAAATCGAATTCTTTTTAGAAAGCTAATAAGCTTCAATTTAACTGATTTTATTCTCTCTTAACACATTCGCGACGAGGCGTTTTTTTTGCGTTACTGCCCCAGTGGACGAGGGGTGTCTCGCAAAGCTGTTAGCCCCGAAATACATATGTAAAATTTCATGCCGAATCTCTAATCAGATTTTGAAAATATTGCTGCCTCAAAAAGAACTAATCGAATCTTTTTACATTTTGAAATTATCTTAAAAAGTTGAGAAGCTATAGCGCGTCAAAAATTTGGTCGGGGAACCGGAATCATCCCAGGGGCCAGACGGCCTTCTTCCACCGGTGGACCGAACCGTCCCAGGGGCCAGACGGCCTTCGTCTACCGGTGGACCGAATCATCCCAGGGGCCAGACGGCCTTCGTTCACCGGTGGACCGAATCGTCCCAGGGGCCACACGGCCTTCTTCCACCGGTGAACCGAACCGTCCCAGGGGCCACACGGCCTTCTTCCACCGGTGAACCGAACCGTCCCAGGGGCCACAGGCCTTCTTCCACCGGTGAACCGAACCGTCCCAGGGGCCACGGCCTTCTTCCACCGGTGAACCGAACCGTCCCAGGGACCAGACGGCCTTCTTCCACCGGTGGACCGAATCGTCCCGAACGTGTTAAAAACCAAACCCACCCTCTATCGTATCTCCCCGCATTCGGTCGATACATATTCCCGCGTCGTCCACGATTCGCCAAAGCGGCTAAAAAGACAATCTATCCTCGATATTTAGAGATTTTATCAAAAAAGCTTGCCGACAATTTAAGGATAAGCATAGCCGTTGTGAGAATATCGAATCGAGAATTGAATTTTTTGTTTCATTTATTTTCTTACCGCCTCCTCTCACACCTTGTTGTGCAGCTTGGTATGAAGCGAAACGGCGAATATCACGAAACCATGTCAATTCACACGGATATCCCAAAACATCCGCATCTTTGTATCTGAAAAGTTTCGTTGTTGAAAAATGGGCTTTCGAAAACGATTTGATTGGGTTCCCTTGTTCACTCTAATACCCATTAGGCAAAGTTTGAATTTGCCATTGACAATCGAACTTTGAGCTCAAATATCTCGGCTTTCGGCTGTTCAATTTAAATATTCTTGATATCATTGGATGCGCCAAGTCGTTCTCTGTCGATTGGTACAAAAATGATTTCAATTGGACCACACAACACCAAGAAATTTGAGCTCAAAGTTGGCCTGCCAATGGCAAAGGGCCGGAGGCGCGTATCAAAGCTTCGATAACCGGAATTTCACTCTTGGGTAGGAAAAGTGAGTTGCTAGAATGCAGAAAGTGACCGTTCTCAAGCATTATATAAAAAAAATTGTGGTTTTTATGTGGAAAAATACATTTCAAATCGCATTCCCGACCTATTCATGCACTCCTTCGCATGCTCTCGACTGGAAACGCACGGCGACGAAAAGTCGCGAGCGATCGGCTGAAACCTTCGTAAAATCGAACGAGCATGGGCCAATTCTTTCATCGAAATACTCCCTGAAAAGAAAAAAGACTTTCGCTAAGGGAAACTCGAAGACTCTAGAAAACTCGAAGACTCTAGGAAAAGTTTAAGAATGATTATGATTAGATTTTTGTCTCCAGAAACCTGCTCGACTCACCGATTTCCTCCAAGGCTTTCGTAAGGACAAATTAAGGATCAGAGAGAGAAAATTCCATGAATTTGATCATTACGGTATTTGATCATTACGGTTTTTTTAAAAAAAGAATTTGAAGTTCCCGAGAATGTTTTCTATTCCCGAGAATGTTTCCGAGAATGTTTTCATTCCCGAGAGAATGTTTTATGAAGTCGATCATGAAGGAGAAATCGTCAGCGTCAGCCGTCAGCCGGCATCGATTCGATCAAAGTTTAGGCACATTTTTTTAGGAGAGAGAAGAAACTTTTAACAACACACTGAATTGACACACATTACATTGGAAAAAGACAAAACTCAAGTTATTTTTCTTTCTTCGCTCTGTCAGGGTGTGGTTAAGCTGGGTCAATCTAGGTCAGTAACCAACTCTAAGCCATGGAGCTACGTTTACAAGTAGCTTCAGCTCATTCTAGTAGCTTCAGCTCTTCTAGCTTCAGCTCTTACAAGTAGCTTCGGCTCTTCCAGCCCTAGCTCTGTTTCCAAGTCATAAAACTATCAGCAAGCCATTTTCTGTTCTTGTTTACAGCTCTGACAAGTGATTCAACCAAAAATCAGTGTTGATTTGTCATCTTTTTGTCTATTGTAAGTACATCATTGTCATTATTCGTTAGAATCGAGTCTACAAACTTAATCGTCAAGTCTAGAATATAAAACTGAAACAAGTTTGAGTTAAATATTTGAAATTTGGTCGATCTGGAGGTCAGTACAGTGCTTAGCAATTTGGAGATTCTGAAGCTTAAAAATCAAATCAAAAGCTGAAATTAAGCCCGTATTGACAAGTTGGAGATCAAGCTGGATATCAAGCTGGAGATCGAACTGGAAGTCAAGCTAGGATACCAAGCTAGATACCAAGCTGGATAACAAGCTGGAGATCAAGCTGGAGATCTAGCTGGAGATCAAGCTGGATATCAAGCTAGATACCAAGCTGGAGATCAAGCTGGATATCAAGCTGAATACCAAGCTAGATACCAAGCTGGATACCAAGCTAGATACCAAGCTGGATATCAAGCTGGCTATCGAACTGGAGATCAAACTGGAGATCAAACTGGATAGCCTGTCTGTTCCGTTACCGGGAAACTCTGACATAGTATTCCCACGGAGTTTCATTCTTTCCTGTGGAGAGTTTCCGTCGAAAACCGAAACTTTCCATAGAAATCTTTAAAAAAGCCTTTCTGGCGCAAGTTTTGAATATTTTGAATACTCCCGTGGGAATACTTTTGTACGGGAAAAGCACGCTCAGCGCATGACTCGATCATTCCGCGATTTGTCATTTCAAGATTCCAGTCGGAATTTTCCGGGGAACGGACTCAGGTCCAAAAGCAACACTGAACTAGGTTGAGAATTCATTAAACCTCATTAAACACCTCATTAAACATTAACTAGGCTCACTAAACCGAGCTTAAACCACACCCAAGACTTAACTCTGAAATAGCTTTACTTTTTTTTCATTCTTTTCCTTTCAAACACCCGCAACTCACTTCCACTTCATCGGTGGGGCATATTCCCGGGCAATCCTCTAATGAAGACGGTGTGTGCTTTGACTCGGGCACATCTTCCTCATTGATTCGATGATGGCTCGGCCGATTAGTGCCCACCACTCCCACCACCACCACTATTCCCATATCCGCCTTGATAGCCGTTATCGTAATACGACGACATAGAAAAAGCAAGATCTGAAGATGGATTAAAAGATGATTAAAAAAGAAATAAAGACTATCTAAAGAGCTATCGATGGCTATTTTCAGGAAACTGTTATCAGAGAAAGTGATCGGAATTTCAGAATTCTCCAATTCTCCAATTCTCAATTCTCCAATTCTCCAATTCTCCAATTTCTCATCATTGACCAAATCTTTCTTTCTTGATCTTCAAGCTTTTCGCTAGAGATTCGAAAATGTCGAACAAAGAAAACAAGAGCTTTCCGCTAAATCACACAGGGTTTATGAGTGAATTTAAGAATTGGCGATAAAAATTGAAATTTTCGAAAGAAGAAAATTCACTCCAATAGTTGTACAAAATAGACTAAAAATAGAGTAAAAATAGAGTAAAAATAGGGTACAAATATTCAGTGGATGGTAGGGTTTTGATAAAATATTCGGCAGTTGATTGCGAGGAGGAAGGCAGAAAAGAGGAATGGCACAAGGGAATGGGCAAAAACATGGAAGAAAACGAAAAGAAAAAAAGAAAGAGAGGAAGGAAAGGTCGGCAAGAATCGATTGAAAAAAATGAGGAAATGCATGGGGAAAAGAGGAGATTTTTAGAAAACGACACTTTTTCCGGGAGTGTGGTCCTGTAATTTTTAAAGTCTTTTTCCGTTTCCTGACATCTTCAAAAAGGCCTAGTGAACTATGGGAACGAAGATTTTCGAGGCATTAAGCTGGGCCTGGGCAATTGGAAATTGGGAAATTGTTGAGCAGATTTTTTGTTGTGATACAGGTGAAAGTTAAAGGGTGGAAACGAAGAGCACTATACAGTTATAATCGATAGACAAAAGGTCCAGCCAAGAAAGAAAAGCCAAGAAAGGCCAGAAAAGAGACAATAAAAAAATAGAAAAGACTACCCCCAAATTGAGTCCAGAGAAATTGAGATGAGAAAGCCCAATTGAGAAGTCGGCTTCACACACTTAAAACTCTCAGCCATGAATAGGAATTTGTCTCAGTAGTCTCAGTGAGTCGACGACTCAGAACATTCACACAATCAATTGAACGTCTCTGGAGAGCGGTGGAGAAATAAAAGCACCGCGGAAGAACTGTTCATCTTTTGCTACCTAGCGGAGTCTATGGTTCAGAAGTTCCTCCATCGCATTGCTCGATCGCACGATCCTCCATGGCATTCCTCGATCCCACGATCCTCCATCACATTGCTCGTTTGCAGGATCCTCCATCCCCTTGCTCGATCACACGATCCTCCATAGCATTCCTCGATCACACGATCCTCCATCACATTGCTCGTTTGCAGGATCCTCCATCCCCTTGCTCGATCACACGACCCTCCATCTCGTTCCTCGATTGCACGATCCTCCATCACATTCCTCGATCGCACGATTCTCCATCCCCATTGCTCGATTGCACGATCCTCCATCGCATTTCTCGATCACGCGATCCTCCATAGCATTCCTCGATCACACGATCCTCCATCGCATTTCTCGATCATACGATCCTCCATCACATTGCTCGATTGCACGATCCTCGATCGCATTGCGTTCCACTTTGCTTCCGAATGTTCCAATGATTACCCCATTGATCAGGTGTTTTTGTCCACCATGATTGAGGATTAATGTAAATTTTTGGGGATAACCGTATTGATGTACATGGGCATAATTGTTTGGGATGGGAGGCCGGAAAACGTCTACAAAATTGGCTATAAATTGAGAGATTTAACAAAAAAATATAAAAATATCTGAAATCTTTAGTTTGCAGCCTTGGTTTAATGAAAGTAAAGGTTTTGAACAAACGCTGTCTTCAAGACAATTAGATGAGATCGGGTAATTCAACTGATGGAATTGAACTGGTGGAATTGAATTGGTTATTGAACTTTCTAGTGGGCTTAGCAAAAGAACTTTCTGTTCTTTATATTCTTTATGTTCTTTATAAGACTTTTCACGTTATGTTTAGGTCAAAAATAGGTCTTTATTTCAAAGTTTATGATGATGATGATGATGATGATATTAGATATTTAGAAAATATAGATACTTGATTCATAACTTATGGAAATAAAGTGCACAAGATTTCATGATTAATGGTGGGAAATTCATACACATAAACACGACAAAGGACCGCTAAAAAGCAAAACGATATATGATGTATCTAATATATCTGTGGGTAGCACAGAATAAGGCCAAAGGAATCTACTAGAGCTTCAAGATCAAGATGATCAACAGAGAATTTAAAGGTTTCGAGACTATTTGACTCTCTCAAAACTCTTAGGAGTCGATTCCAAATTTCGAATCAAATTCCAAATCCAAAGTCTGGCAGGTTCTTATTGGAAGAGAGTTATACACAAACTTATTGAAGGTGACTGGAATATCTAAAACGAAAGAACCTCTCCCTTGAACTAGCCGTGGGGTTAACTTTGAATATAAATCTCGAAAAACAGGATTCTCTGTTGATGAGCTTGATTGAAAAAGAGGATTCTCTGTTCTGTTAAATTCTCTGTTGATGAGCTTGATCTTGAAGCTCTAGTGGATTCTTGACGGTTGCCTGCCCTTTACAATTTCAAGATCAAGATGATCAACAGAGAATTTAAAGGTCTCGAGTTATTTGACTCCCGCTCTATTGGACTTATGTTCAAAAAACCCAGAACCTTTTTGGTAAAATTAGCTAGCTTGCCTAATTGAATTTGAATGAATCTGTAAAAGCAAAAGCTAAGCAGAAGCTAACCAAAAGCTAAACAAAAGCTAAGCAAAATCTAACCAAGATCTAAGCCAAATCTTGTCTAACAGCTCATTTACACATTGAATAACAATTGATCTTTGATATTTAACGGAATAACCGAATTTTCAAAAAAGAAATTGAAAATGTGTATCATCTTTCGGCAATAAGCCGAATAAGGGCACTTCCTCGATATATCATAATTTGGGCAATGAAATTTGATACTTGTGAAGTGTTGGGGCTAACAGGGAAGAAAGAAACGAAAATTGTTTATTTTAGAAAATCAATAACATGATTTAAAATCAAGGCTTTAAAGTAGTTGATAGACTACCGGTAGACTTTAAAGTGGTCGATAGACTACTTTAAAGTAGACTTGCATATTGAAAGCTTCAAGTTCAACTGACTCTAAATAATGATTTCTACATACTTTCAGAAACAAGAGTACTATGTTTAGATAATAGAATACGTTTATTTTGAGATCAAAATGAGAGTTTGGTCTGATGGCCATATTTTAGCCTCCAGCAAGACCAGCATTACAGCCAGACCGATGTTTGGTACTTACTCTACCTAGGGAATATTATCAAGTTAAGGTGGGCTTGAGAGTTTGGTCTGTTGGCCATATTTTAGAGAGTTGAAGCGCTTGGAGTAATCCATCTAAATAAGGGCACAGGGTAATCAAAAAGTTCCCGTACACTTTACAAAAGAAGCTCGATTTACAAAAGAAGATTTTTCAGCTAAAACCCAGATCGAAATTCGACTTACTATATAGTAAGTTGAAGCTGAAATTGTGCGGAGAATTTCTAGACCTAAACCATCCTGATCAGAGCCACCTAGCTCTCCAAAGGAGCATTCTAGTGCGCTCGAGGCAAACTGTCATGATCTTCACCTATTTGAACCTGTTTTCAATTGAAAAATCCTTCAAAAAGCCTTTTTGAAACAAGACAAGTGTTAGGATATCAATAAAGAAGTCGAAAATGGGATTCAAATTAAATTTTCGATACAATTTACAAAGATCTAACTAGGGAATGTTGTCACGTTAAGGTGGGCAACGAGAGCAAGCCTAGAGTGTCAGTTGAATTTGAGCCTCCAGCAAGACCTCAAACAAGACCAGCATTACAGCCAGATCGATGTTTGGTACTGATTACTCTAACTCAGGGAATGTTATCAGAGTTAAGGTGGGCTTTTCGGACGAGAGCAAGCCTATCTGATAGAGCTTTTATAGATAGAGATTCCGAATCCGGTTTTAACTTCTCCGAAAGAGCTCTGTAACGCGAGATTTTTGGTGTACAAAATTTGGCCCCAATTTCGGTAGGTTTATAAGATTGACATGCCTTCGCTCAAATGTGAGCTGGTGGCTTAATGAATAGTTTGCTGGCGCTTGGGAGTTTTTGTTGGATTTGTCTTTTCCGCTTAACTGCCAAACTTTTTTGCTTTCTCTTTGCGAAACCTTTCTAAACACTTTTCATGATCCTGCAAGAGCCAATAACTCTCTTTCTTAAAGTTTAAAGAGGCATAACTTGTTTAGTTTATAGGAGTTTAGAAATATTCAAAGAATTGTTCGGAAAGTATTTCAAATAATTGATTCAACTAACATAAATGATATAAATTAAAGTAAAAAATAAAAGAAAAACACTCAAAACAGTATAAAAACTTAATAAAAAGCGCAAATGTTACATGAAATTTCACTACAATTAGTTTCAAGCTTAATGTTGAAAGCTACAATTAGTTGAAAGCAAACTGCAAAGCAATATGCTAATGGCGTCTCATCTGCCTTGGAGTTTTGCTGGCCCGAGGTAAACCATGGACATTTGATCATTTCGAGAAATTTTGGACTTTGGAAAATTCTGCAGACTGGAAAAAAAGACTTGAAAAATCACCCGCAAAGTGTTATCTCTCTGATCGTTAGTCTCCTGACTAACGTCTCTGACTACAACGATAGTCTACCTGTGGCCATTAGTCCTAAAATGTGGCAATTAATCCCGGCGCAAAAAAAAAAAAAAAAAAAAAAAAAAAAAAAAAAAAAAAAAAAAAAAAAAAAAAAAAAAAAAAAAAAAAAAAAGGGGGGGGGGGGGGGGGGGGGGGGGGGGGGGGGGGGGGGGGGGGGGGGGAAAAAAAAAAAAAAAAAAAAAAAAAAAAAAAAAAAAAAAAAAAAAAAAAAAAAAAAAAAAAAAAAAAAAAAAAAAAAAAAAAAAAAAAAAAAAAAAAAAAAAAAAAAAAAAAAAAAAAAAAAAAAAAAAAAAAAAAAAAAAAAAAAA